TCACTCTATTGTTTTGAACACATTACACTCTACACAATATAAATAAGTGGCATGGTTACATCTGAAGGTGCTTGACTGTCTTCATTTGATGCTGTCCATCTGTCAGACAGAAACTAGTGCCTCATATAACATTATAAGTTGCTACACTTGTGCATTTCTGCTAATCCAAAAATGAAACCCAGGGGTGTGTAAATTAGGTGGATTAGACATGGAAATACCGGGTTACTGGGAAAAGGTAGGGGAATGGGTCTGGGTGGGATGCTTTTCGGAGGGGCGGTGTGGACTTGTTGGGCTGAATGGCCTGTTTCCACACTGTAGGGATTTTATGATTCTATCGTAAGCTCAAGTTGAGGTTATATGATGCATTGATACTTACATCAAAAGGACAATGAAGTTGAGAGCTGATGCTGAGCTGAGCTGAGAGTCAGAAGAATGAAGATCTGGAGTTTCCATTGTAGGTGTTAAGCAAAATCCTAATTTAAGCTGAAACAAGTCTAAAGCTAGAAGAGCTTTTATGTTTTGCTGGACACTGTTGATTAATCCTTTGATTGCTGAAAAAATCCGAAAAGCTAACAATGTTTTTACAGATCTGGAATGCCTTCCTGGTGAATATCTTAGAGTATGTGTGATTATGAGACAAAGTCAGTCCTGAGGACTATATGTAACTCATTCATGAAAACGTTCATTGTTTTCTATCCATGTCAATATTCTTATCTCTTACATGAGACCTTATCAAAATCCACGGGCTGGATTTGTGAAGTGTTTAACCATGTTTTTGCCTAATTTGTTAACAAAGCGTGAACCTTTGCACCACCTCATGGTTCAGGATGCACAGCGACATCAGGAACGAAATGTCATCCAGTCAAAGACCAATGTCATGCCACACCCAGTTATAGAAAAGAAGCACTGAAGCCAGAATTAGTAGCAGGCATAAGGGACAAAATCAAGATGAATTGCTCGATTATCCACCTTTTATCATTGCCTTCCCCCCATCTCTTTATTTATTCCAGAGTCCCCTTCCCCTCCCCTATTTCTGAAGAAGGGTCCAGACCCGAAACGTCAGCCTTCCTGCTCCTCTGATGCTGCCTGGCCTGCTGTGTTCATCCAGCTCTACACCTTGTTTTCTCTTATGACGGAAAGCCAAGTTTCATTTTGATAAAGCTGCTCAGTCATTGCATGAGCTCATCTTTGGTGAGCCAGTAAGAGAGAAAATGTTGAATACTCTCAACACTAGTCAGCCAAAGTAGCAACTTTTGGGACATACGTAGAGCAGTTTTCATTCCAATCATACCCAATAAAAATAAATGGCCACATGTGTTGTCACAACATTGTAGACATCTATGTACAATGAAAGAAGCTGTGCCTTCACTGTGGGAAATAGATCATAAAGATTCATTACACGTGTGGAGACTGATGGGAGTGTAACTGACGAGAGTTGACAGTGTTTTGCAATTGAATGATAATTTTTTTGTGACCATGTATGTTGGGTAACTTGCATAACTGGCAGTTGCAATTTCATTTCTTGGTATTTTTATGAAAGTGAGTTCTAAGAGAAATTCAGTTATCTCCTTAATGTACTGGCTGCCTTGTTCCAGTCATGTGACCTCTACCTTTGCTGTAAATAAGTCTCAGCAGTCTGTGGCAGTCATTAAAAACATCACTTGTGACTGGAAGGGAGTTTTGGAAAGTTGACACAACAATGATATTTCCAAGTCAGTTTTGTGTGTCTTGTTGAGGTGTCTGTTTGTCTTGTCATTGTTGTGGTTTTGAACGGTGATGCCAAAAGAATCTTGGCAATTTTCTGCATTGCATCTTATTGATCATGCAATATTGTGTAGTTGGTGGATGGCTACTGATTAGGCTGCTTTGTCCTGGATCGAGTGAAACTTCTTGTATGAGCTGTGTTCATTCAAGCAGGTGGAGAGTATTCCATGATATTTCAAGTTACACAAAATAGAACTGTTGTATAGTTAGGGGTAAGAGCCATGAGGAAAATTACTGTCTCAGGAGAAGCCCACACAAAAAGGATTCCAGCCCACTTTTTAGGTGCAGTTTCCTGAAAGTCTTGGGCAACGTTTTGCGATTGACCAGTTGTGTTTGAACGCAAAGTGGCACAAAGGAGAATGCAAAAGTTTGCCTCTGCAGTTTTTGCCTTTTTGCCGCTATTTGTTTCTCAACCCAAATAATTGTTCCTTTCTTGCCTCACTGACTTAGATTGATGCCATGGCAACAATGGAAATACATGTGATACACTGTTGTGAAGCTCCGTATGGTACTTCGGTACCCAGATATTTGACTCTTAAAAATTCCAATGTCCAAATTATAAATCTAATGAAAAAAATTACTGTTGTGCAGCACAAGATAAATTTGACTTGAATAAGTAGGAGAATTATATCAGTCCTCAAAAGATGCATTTCCTATTTTTTTCCCACAAGGATTTTGGAAGATTTATTTACAATACATTGGAGACTCAGATTATTGAGCCAATGCACCTTGCCTGTGGTGAAGAGATTGTCATAGCTCCCTTATTTACTCCAAGTGCAACAAAACATAAATGACCATTTACAAATGGAAACATATCCCAAGCACTTAAGAAAATTCTATGTGAGATTCTGTTATTCTGTCTTTCAGCACCTCACGCTTTCAGTGAACTCATTTTATCAAATAATAGTCTTCCCTTTTTCCTTTGAATTACACATTCGTCTTTATTCTTTTCATAACAAATCTTTCCAATAGTTATAAACTTGCATTTTTTGACTAGCTGCTTTCTTCAGTGTTTTGGTCATGGACGATGTAGCTGCTTCAATTAGAGAACCACGGAAGCAGTGCACATACTTTTCAACCTGCTCCTTTTCTTGTCTTAGTGTTAAAGTTCTTAAGAGGAAAAAAGCTAAGATGTTACCCCCAGACGCAGTGAAGGAGGATAAGAGAACAAGACACTCATTCCACTCACTGCTTTCCTTCCCTTGATAGACCTGTGTCTGTTCTGGCTTAGCCAAGAGATCTAAATCAGTGAAAGCAAATTAATATAAGATATTTTGGACCCAACCCTTCAAAGATTGGGTTACCAATGAATCAAGAATTACAATCTATCCTCAAGGCCCCAATTTTGCTATTGCAGCCACCAGATGTGCATGAGACTATATCAAGTTGTTCTTCAGTTTTCCCCTCTGTAACAATGCACAAGCACCTCACTTAACAGTTTTAGCAGCCAAAAACAGTACGTTTGATCTCAGTCTCTTTCTTGTTCTATTTGACAGACGTACGCACACTCTCTTTCTATCTCTCTCAACGTACGTTTATCACAAAGCTGAAAGCCGTCAGCTCCACTTCATCCCTACCCTCAAGCAATACCAATCTTTATTGATTTACACCGAGTATGTTTGTCTGCATTGATGTTTATGTGAAATACAATAATTCCTGACATGGATGTTATAATTCAGTTTGCAAACATGCTACCACAAAGAACAGATGCAAGTATAGTCATCAGTCTTTTTAGACTAACAAGGCTTCAAATCATATATTTGCTTGATTGTTTTTCAAAAAAACAACAAAATTTTTGGATCTTGTCAACATTGACCAAATAGAGGAATTGGACACTGGGACTAAAAGTCCTCAGCTGGATTGAAAACTAGGACTCAGGCTGGAAAACAAATGAATGGAATCTGACCATCTTTTAAAATTTTTGGAATTTGATACCAAAAAGCAATTTCTACATAGTCTAGTGATGCCTGGCTACCTGCTTATGTGAACTTGAAGGTGGTTGTTGCTGCAGCCTCATGGTTAAGGTGCCTTCTGCAGATGTAGGACAGTTCTTAAATTATTTGTGATCATCGATAAGGAGGCAGACTCTATTCTGGAAGCAGATCTAGATAGAGGGGTAGGAGTAAACATCCAATGACAGATTTCTGCACAGATCTGCCTGGCTTAGCTCACAGTGTGGGGCCTTCTTGCTGTCAGTAAGATGACAGGAAAATACCCATTCTGGCTGCTAGTGTCCAGTTGACCTGCCTCTGGCCGCCACTTCAATTCCTCACTTGCCTCCCACAAGATTAGCCAGAGATGGGAACAGTCAGGGTCCATTTTCAAAATCTCCTCCATCCCACTCACTACGAAAACCAGTTCCATGTAGTTGGTAGGATATCGCCAATGAATTTAACATATTAACTCTCTTACTGTTAGTGCACAAAATCAAGACAATTGATTTCAGCTAAAAACCGAAAGAACTGCGGATGCTGTAAATCAGGAATAAAAAGAGAATTTGCTAGAAAAGCTCAGCAGTTCTGAGGAAGGGTCACTGGACCCAAAACGTTAACTCTGATTTTTCTTCACAGATGCTGCCAGACCTACTGGGCTTTTCCAGCAACTTCTGCTTTTGTTAGAGATGAAATAAGCTGTTGCCTTCTGAGAGTCGCAGGGAAACAGACTTGTCTGTTCCCAATGTAATTAAATGTTGCAAACAAGCCTCTAAAACTAACATTCCAAATATTATCCTTCAAAAGAACTTTTTTGAGGTGACCAGGGTATAAGTAAAGGCTTATTTTCTTCAAATTCATTACACCAAATGTTTTAATAAAGCGGTTTCAGACATAGAGGCATCACCTCTGTCCCACTTGCTGTATACACTGCCAAAATTCACATCACTGCAGTTGTCGAGGAGGGGCAGAAAAGTAATTAAGTGTTTGCATAGAGGCAGGAAAATTCAATGTTTCAAAAAACACACTTTGGTTGTAAATTTGGAGTCACATAAAATCATTTTCTATTTTCAGTTTCCTTCTCACCTCTGGATTCGATTATGTAATTTGACTATGATTCACTTTATTTCCAGCACATTATGGATTTTTTTTATCTGAATGCCCTTAATCACCTGTTTTTCACTGCAGGACTATGCCTTTGGCACCCTCTGTTCAGAATCCCTGCCAGGTCATCACCACCTTCTCAGGGCCAATGAGAGATGAGCAATAAATTCTGACCCAAATGGCCAAGTCCGCATCACCTACCTGAATAAATAAAATATTACCCCACCACAGTTCTCGGTCACTCTCCTCAGTTGCCATATTCCATTTGTAGCAGATGAAAGCCATGGCTGAACAGTCAGTAAACATGAGCAGCAGGCTCCCCTTTGCCATTTGACTAATCAAATGATGAGTCAGGCACCACTGTTGATGCGAATACAGCTACAGTTTACCCACAGCCTATTGCGGACCTTCGGCAGTTCCTGGTCACATTCGCTAACTGTGGAAATTCTTTTCTCATTTTTGTTTACATACTTATGATGTAAATCACTGTGTTTTCATGATATGTAACCATGGTGAGACCCAGGACACACAGGACTGGAGTGGTTGAAGTAATGCAATGTGAGGTCTAACATTAATAATAAATAAGAACATAATAGATTGCAAACACCAGACTGAATCCATCTGATTATCTTGGTTTTCTTGTGTTACAACACATGTTTCACGAAGGTTCTGGAAATCTGGGTGACAGCAAGTTCGTGACACTGTCATAGAAGGACTTGTAGATGACACAAAAGCCTGACAGGGTGCACTTCTTCATTGGCCCCCATCTGTCTGCCAACACACTTCAATAACTTTGCCCTTAGGACCACTGATGCATCTCCCAACATTTTTCCAAATGTGTTATAAAGAAAGCGCTCTTTTAAAATTTGTTGATACCGCTGGATCAAGCTTGGAAACTAAATTGTTAGAGATCATTTGATCATATTAAGAATAATATACAACAAGGAATGGGAATAAGACTCGTCTGTTAGAATTCTACCCTTGGGATCATTCATGCATCTTAAAGAATTCTTAACCTGTCCTATCATAGAATTTGATTTTACAGTTACCATTTACTGCCATGATGTACGTTTGCTGATTTAAAAGGCTCATTTCCTCCATAATTTTGTAATTCTCTGGGCTTGACTGAATGAGAAACAACCGAGACCTAACAATATTTGCACTTCACATCAAACCTGTTGTCCTGACAAGCCAACTATCTGGTATTGCTGAAGGTGAAGCTGAAGATAAATACATTTTTATTTGAGAAGAGGAGCCACACGAGGTAATGGTGGTTTGAAATGTAAAACTCTTCAAAATGCAACAACTGTTGGAACCAGAAACAGGAGACATTCTCTTTTCAATAATTCATTCACTCTTTAAAAAGTGATTGCTAGCCATCTATGTAACAGTATCCAATTCTAGCTAGACTGGGACTAATGGGGAAGTAAACAAAGACGTTCTGTGTGCTGTTTGTTTATGGTCTGCTGCATTTAGTTGTGATACCGAGACATGACTATCATCCCCACATCAGACCATGACATGATACTGCACCACTACACAAAACAGAGCAAACAAAAATGTTAGGTGAAAAAGTTGAACAATTTATTCAGACAGTGTTTGGTTCAGGATACAATTGCCTGTTGCACTAAACGATATGTGTCTCTCTGCCACCAAACATAATTCAATGAGACTACAGTAAGGAGGGGATGGAGTCTGTCAAATGCAAGACAGTCGAATGTAATTTCAACCTTTTTTTGTTCAACATAGTTGACATTTCAGAGCTGCAGCAAATCTTTAAGCAGGTCATACAGGACTTTCTTGCTAATTCTAAGTTTCAGACAGCAACTGTCACATTTGGGTGTGAAAATAATTTGTTGTCTATGTTTCCACTGAGACTCTGTTTCTCTCCTGGGTCTCCTGTGCATCGTAAGCAAGAAATCTACCATGTTCAAATCACTGGCAACATTAACAGCTGCTTTTTTAGTTTTGTTTCTATTTTTGAGATATGGGGCCTGATGCTGGGAGAATTTTTAGACCGAAAGGAGTGATATATTAATATTAGTGTTGGAGAAAGCAGCATTTCTAATTATTTACCACCAGTGTGCATTCAAGAAAAAGTTAAGTTCAGACCATGGGTAGAGATGCTATTTCTTTGTCCCAACAAACAGTCTGAAATTGGTAACACAATAGGAGAGAAACTGAAAATAACCTCAATTGTGGATCTTAAACTGGAAGGACTGGATGTAGTTGTTAGAACGTTGTCCTTTCACTCGCTTTGTTTGAATTGGATGTGTGAATGAGCTCAGCATCTTTCCAATTGGCTGCAAATGAAATGGTTACAGAGGTCATCTCAATCCACAACTCCTGTGTATACAGAACTCTTCAAGAGCACAAGACCGTGAAACCATGATCAATAAACATAATCATCGACAGTGACTCATTTTAAACTTAGTCTAACCTTTATTTGATCATAGATATGACAATGTTGGATTTAATTTTGGGGATCACATCTTCAAAAAGACATTAATGTGTAGAAGAAGCCAATGCAGATGTTAATGTACTTTGTGATGAGCAAAACTTTACGGAATTGGCCTCAATACCAGGAAACAAGAGAAAAAGAGTAGAAGATTCCATTTTGCTTTGCTCGGAGAAATAAGTGATATAACTGAATGCAGATTATTTGCTTTCAAGCATTGAGCTGGAGGACATCTATTTATACTTCAGGAATCAAGAATGGTTGTTCTCGGGTGAAAAATGGGACATTCACCCAAAATGGCAGTGAACACCACCAGTTGGTATCCATAAAAAGAATTTCACTGGACCAACAATTGTAGGCAGAAAGTTCAGCCCTGATCTGTTTGACATTTTACAACTCAAATTATCCGCTACATTTTTATGTGCAAAAGCAATATTCTGCATAGAGCACAATAGTAACCGAGCAATTGGACTGATTGAAGTGTTTTGCCAAGCAAAAGATCTGGGTCAAAGTTGAATTCATATGATCTGGCTGGATAGATGGTCTTCAGTTTTGAACAGAGGCAGTTGAACACATTACAAGTTTCCCAATGGGCATCTCAGCAATTTGCTCTTCCCCATTCACTCTAAACTGGAGACGATGACAAATTAGGAGAAAGCATTGCAATTCTCTGCTGTTTTAATCATGTTACATTTGTGTAAAAGGAGCAACACTGGAGATCCAGAAGTTTTCCCCTAGGATTCCACGGGGAAGCATTCTGTTAAACAAATTATCTCCACTAATCTGGTCCCGGAATTGTTTTAATCATTTTGCAAAATCAGAAATGATTATCCTTTAGAAAGTCTGTTGTTATGATCAATGTGGTGTCATTACTATGAGTGGAGATCAGGAAAGAGGAAGATGGTAGTGTGAACCGCAGCTGGAATAGGGAGAAAACTGAGACAGAAATGATTGTACCAGTTGATTTGGCTAGTTTAACATAAATCATGTTTTTGTTTTGAACAATTGTTCACATGATTCAACCAATATTTCTTCTAAGTGTTCAGTCACTCTGACAGACAATTTAAAGGGAACAGTGCAATTAAAATCAAACAAAATGCACCATTTTAATATTAAAAATTCAACATTTATCAATGAAGTCCATGCTCAAAGCTCCCCTCTCATCATAATATGAATCTGTAGAATATGGACCAAGGAAGGGACAGCATTTCAAATGAATGAATGGAACTCTAAATTCCTTTACACATTCCTCAATGAATAATCTGCAGTGAATAGAGGACTGAAACTTATTAAACTAAATGTAAATATGAAACAATATTGTATATAATAATGGTGCTGGACGGCTTTCACAACAGGCTTTTAAAGGAAGTGAATGAGAAAAATTTTAGGTGCTTCAGCATTAACCTTCCAAAACTTTCAATTGATGTATTGCTCCTTTTGATGGAAATATTTAAATGTAACACTATTACTTCAGAGAAATCAGACAGGAGCACACCTGTTGCATAATGTGTTGTCAGGAATCTATCTGAATCTATAGTTAAGCACAGAGCACTTCAAAAAAATGAGCTGATTTAAGAGAGTCAATATTAGTATGAGAATGGTGAATGATATTTAATGAAACTCACTGATTTTTTTTCAGAAATAACTGAAGTTGTAGACAAAGGTCACAGGTAGACAGGGTGGTGAAGAAAGCGTTTGGCACACCTTCCTTCATTGGTCAGAGCACTGAAGAAAAGTTCTGAGGAGGAGCCACTGGACGCAAATCATTAACTCTGCTTTCTCTTCAGAGATGCTACCATATCTGCTGAGCTTTTCCAGCAATTTCTGTTTTTGTCACTGAGTATAGGAATTGGGACATCATGTTGCGGCTATACAGGACCTTGGTGAGGCCACTTTTGGAGTACTGTGTATAGTTCTGGTCACCCTGCTATAGAAAGGATATTATTAAATTGGAAAATTGCAAAAAAGATTACAAGGATGTTACCGTGACTGAAGAGTTTGAGTTATAAGGAGAGGCTGGATAGGCTGGGACTTTCTTTCCTGAAATGTAGGAGGTTGAGGGGTGATGTTATTGAAGTTTGCAAAATCATGAGGGGGATGGATAAGGTGAATAGCAAAGGTCTTTTCCCTAGGGTAGCAGAGTTCAAAACTAGACTTCTATAAGGTCACCCCCTCAAGGGAGGATAGCCCCAGCCTATTCAGCCTCTCCCTATAGCTCAAACCCTCCAATCCCAGCAACATCCTTGTAAACCTTTTCTGTACCCTTCCAAGTTTCACAACATCCTTCCTATAGGAGGGAGACCAGAATTGCATTCAATACTCCAAAACTGGCTGAACCAATGTCCTGTACAGCTGCAACACGACCTCTCAACTCCTATGCTCAATGCACATCTGGAGTACTTTATTCTTTATTCATTCACGGGATGAGGGTGTCGCCGACCAGGCAGCATTTATTGCCCATCCCTAATTGCCCAGAAGGCAGTTAAGAGTCAACCACATTGCTGTGGGTCTGGAGTTACATCTAGGCCAGACCAGGTAAGGATGGCAGTTTCCTTCCCTAAAGGACATTAGTGAACCAGATGGGTTTTTCCTCTGACAATCGGCAATGGATTCATGGTCATCATTAGATTCTTAATTCCAGATACTTATTGTACTCAAATTCCACCATCTGCCATGGCGGGATTCGAACCCGTGTCCCAGAACATTATCTGGGTTTCTGGACTAACAGTCCAGCGATAATACCACTAGGCCATCACTTCCCCTCAATATTAGTTTATAAGTATATTAGTGCACAATATTAGTTTCCTTATTGAAGGAAAAGTG